TTTTTTAGACTTTAGAAACTCAGAAGCTGATCAAATATCGGGTTAAATATCGGTGGGGTGGCCGATGTCCGATATTCAGTTTTAAGGCCGATGCCGATAGGGGGCCGATTATATCGTGCATCCCTACTTTTCACTACATTACTTGAGTACATCTATTTTTACAGTAATTTTTATACTTAAGCACAACCCATTTCAGATACTTTAAGACTTTTACTCAAGTGACATTTCAGTCAGTGACTTAGACTTTTACCAAAGTCATATTTTGGAGAGGTACTTATACTTTTATTTGACTCCGAGATTTCAGTACTTTATACAACACTGATTGTAACCATTGTTAATAAAAGAAGACCAAATCTAGAGTACTTCTGCTGTGATGGTTCTTGAGTAGACTAGATGAGTCATATCAGCTGGGCTTCGTTAGAGATTTACTTTGGCTAAAGTAATATGATCATGTCTGAAACAACTTTCTTGTTATGAAGTGAAATATACAGATAAGCTAATACCGCTTTGAGCAATACGCATCAATAGGGCCTGAGTTGGACTAATTTTCAACCCTGGAGTTTCACGCCTCAGACAAGCCCACTTAAGATAATTTTAATAACAAATTGTTTATTTTCGGTCCCAGATAATCAGTGGCACATCAGCGTAATATTTGTGTGGTTAATTTTTTGTTTGGTCAGGCAAAGATGAGCATTTGGCTCAGCAGGAGAAATAAAATGAAGGAGAACGTTTCTGTAGACGTTGACCTGATGTTCAGAGGGCTGGTAGCTGCACGTCTTAGGACAGAGTTTGCTTATTATAAGATGGTGTTTTTTGTTTTTTTTTTTGGATTTCATGCTGTTAGGATGAGTGTATGTTTATGATTCACTTGTGAGTTTGTATTATAATGACATATTGGACCAATAAAACGGAGTTCATGGTATTATTATTAGGAACATGTAATTGTAAACTTATAGATCACAGTCTATTACATTGCATAGTTCTGTACAGGCTTTTAATTCATTGTATTTTAATAAAATACTTCTAATACAGTAACGTTAGGGTTGCTTCACAATGCAAATTTAAACAGGAGTGCAATTTCTCAACATATTTTTTTATTTAAAAATGTTATGCATAACATGGATGCTTAAAAACCTCATTTTATTTCAGTGTTAAATTCTGTTGAAAGAAAGTGATTATAATAAAAAATGTGTACCGACTTTTACTGGTTGATGATTTTCTTTATTCAGGCCCAACTGCTTTATAATATATTCTTCTCAACTGTATCAGAATCAACATTCTGTTGACTAGTAGGAATGTAGTTTTGTCCAGGTATAATCCTATTTTAGTGATCTACAAATGGAATAACAGAGAGGACAGTTATTTTAATAAATTTGGCATTGCATCATACAATTATATAGAATATATAACATTAAATTATGCACCACAATATCACTAAATACAATGCCTGGATAATAAACATGTTCAGTGGTTTGCAGGCAAAGATGAACATTCGTCTCACCTATTTAATCAAACCTTGAGCTTGTTTTACTAAAAATGCTGCCAATTTTTGTACATTTAGCAGAGACTGTTTCTAGAGCTTTCCTTTTTTAAATTCTGTCTTTCTCTGCACCGCCGTTACTCTTTCACTCTAAAATTAAACTTTACTCTGTGTTGTATGCCTTTCTAATGTTACATCAGCGCCCATTTGGCCTGAGGTTTTGCCAGTTTTAAGCCTTTTACAGAATAAATCCAACCATTCAGCCATCTAGCAGGAAAAAAACGTCGGTAACTCTTAATACTTCCTGGTTATTCAACATGCAGATCTGAAAAGATTTGGCAAACAACAAGAACAGATTACGTGACAAAAGTTCCACATCAGAATGTCTTCAGATGTGTTTATTATTTGCTTCTGCTCCATCATTTCCATCATTTTGCTGTTCTTTTCTAATCCGTCTTCATACTTACAGTCTGCCGTGTCCTTTGTGATCCTCTTTAGATTCTTTAAAGGGGTGATAGAATGATTCTATAGGGTATCTGGTCCTTCAGGTCTCTAATAGGGTGATAG